GAAATAAATTCAAGAGTAGTCTATTTATTTTATTTTATTTTATTTTATTAGTTTTTTAACTTTTAAGGTTCGCCATTGAAAAAGAACACAGAAACTCAAACACAAGTCTAACCAGTCACACGATACAATTTAAAGCGCTTCATGCTCCAAAGCTCTTTTTTCGTTAGTAGGCAATTTTTTGGTCTCATTTCGGTCTGTATCGCTAAGATTGACAAATCAGATAGATTTTCGGAAAGGCCACTCGACTTCATGCAGTAGATAAAGAGGAAAGCGATAAGCCGTCCTTAGATTTGAACGATAACTTTCTTTGCATCCATTATACAGTAAAGAATAAAGGCTTATTTGATGCGCTATACCGTGTGTCCAAGCCCGTACCTTTGCTCGAAACGCGAGCAAACCTGGGACCATCGCTGCGCGTGAGCCCCGCGAAGCGGTTGCCCTCTCCAACAATTTTCTCAGTTGAGGGGGCTCATGGTAGAGGGTGCCAATTCTTTTGGCGAATTTGCCTTTAGAGCAACCAGGGCGAGGTTCTTACACCTGAAAATAGGGTAATTGTTAGTGGGAGTACCCAAGAAAATGGAGAAAAAAAGCTCTACATCATTTTCAGATGGAATGCGGAAGAATAAACCTAATTTTTCCGTATTTTATTCCCTACACTCAAGGCGAAATGTAAGAATTAACAGAAGCTAGGAACTGTAGGGCAAAACAGCGCAAAGGAAATCACAGGAAGCAAACATGATTTTACGTCATTAAAAGATCATGAATAAGGAGAATGTGGCAGCATCAAAGAGTAGTTGGGCGAAAAAGAAATAAATATCTCAAAGATGCAAGATTGAAAGATGGCGAAGCAAAAATCAAAGCACATATTTCAAAAACAGCTAGCAGAACATCATCGATTGTTTTAGATCACGCGAAATGCATATGTAGATCAAAGATCGATCATAGCTGCTTCAGTACAAAATACCTCAACTTTGTATGTTGTTAAAGGAAGGGAGAAGAGGAAGTCACTCTTTCTTTTTCTTTACATCTGACGTCAGTCCTGGCGCTTTACTTTATGGATTTCTCACACACAAATTGCTAGATGTCGAACAAGTGAAAAAGCGCAGTCGGCGAAAAAGTAGAACTAATTGACGAATCCTACAATCTGTAATGTGTTACATAGTTGTGTAGCCTCGCTATGGCAGAATTTCATCGTTACATTAACATTGAACTCCAAATGCGAGATGAATATTCTTCATAGCTCGGTGCATTCTTTCCCCCTTAGAGCGTAATTTCTCATAGAGATAAAATATGAAGATAGATACGCAGGAATATTTTGAAATCAAGTGAGCGGTTTTCGAAAGAAAAACAAAATGTTGAATCAATATAGAACATCGTAACTATCTCAGAAACACCCGATTAGCAATTTCGTCTCACACAAAAAGAGTGGACTGGATTCGAAACCTTATTTGAGACTGAGAGTAGTATTTATTAGATCTTTCAGCGTTTTTCGCTACAAATCCTAAATAAATTTTACCCGAACGTTCCCTGTCATTAACTTGTATCGCCTGAAAGTATGTACCAATCGTTTCGAGCAGTAGAAAGCGTAGAACCTTTTTCCTAACCTATGTACTGGGTCAAGAATCTGCTGAAGTATGGAAACTTGCTATTTATCGAGAATATTAGTGCAATACTCATGGTCCAAGCTGATTATTGGAGGAGTGACTGAAAAAAAGGAATGAATCTCACAGATGAGAAGGGAATGCCTCAACGAATATAGACAAGTGTCTCTGGAAAATTTGTAACAATTCGATCTTTGGTCCAATGATAATTTAGCTGATTGGCGATTTTCTCGACTCCCGACTTTTCATCGAGCAGCACGTACGCAGTACGAAGAATTCACTCAGAATTCTTACGTTGTAGAACTCGTTGAGACTGAATTTTTGACCGTTGTTGAGTTCTACCTACAAATATTGCATGAAATTACATGGATTGTTCCTACAGTCTCTACCTTGCTCTAGTCATTAAAGGAATATTCAATGCAATCCCTACTTTCTACGCCAATTTTCAAGAAGCACTGTGCTTGGCAATCTGATTCCAAAGCTGGAACCTCCAATTCTGCCTCAGGCAAAAACTCCCTCAAATTCATTTTGTTTGCATTGCTCAGACCAGTGAGGTTAATAGGAAGTCCTGTTCCAGGATAAAGGCGAAGAGAAGGCGCATCCTGTTTGAGGATAGCGCTGGTCGTCGACGCGCGTCATTGTTTTCTCTATAAGCGCTATGTGTATGCACATAGTGTTCAGTGCTGAATAGCAGCGTTAGATTTCAATGTCGCGACTTCGGACAGCCAGTTCTGACACACACACGTGGTCCGGCTTGAAACACTACAGCAAGCAATCCCGAAGCGGAGACGTCATCTTCTGTTTGGCATAGCTATTCAAAATCATGGTGATTCAAGATGAGAGAAAAAAAATATGCTGGAACTGAGGTTTCGATAAATTTTGGCTCAAGTCAGAGCACAGGTTAAAAATCCCCAAAGTTCTCTGTATCTATATTTCGGTCATGCATGGTTTCACAAAGAAAAGTTATATTTGAAAAGGAGTGGGAGCAGGCGGAAGAAGGTGGAAAAAGTGTAAGGAAGAGATAATGCAAGAGTTTCAGTTCGTCGCTAAGGATGAAAACCACGGATAAATTATTAATTCTCCAGTCAAGTCCCACATCCAAAGATTCGTAGATCTGTTGTGCTGCCATAATAGTCTGTAACAATGTATAAAAACTAATGTGGCCCAAGCCTGAATACATAGTTACTGCAGCGATTGTAATCACTGCGCATCAATACTCAAATCGGTAATTCTTTCGTTTACACTGAAACTGCAAAAGCTTCGAACTTTTCTTAATTTGCTAATATCTTCATCTACTTTTTGGAAAGTTATGATTAGCAAATGCTAGCCAGAATGTTATTCGGCTTCCAAGTGAAGCATGGGAGTCACAGTGGAAGGAGCGTAAGGCCCCGGACAGACTTCACGCGATTTGATCGTCGCGACTGAATCGCGACGAGACCATTGTTACAACATCATTCCATGCCGATCAACTTGCATTTCGGTAGTGATACTTTTCCAGCCCGAAATTTTTGAATGTGAAATGAAAATGAATATAATGTCGGCGATTGAGTCGCAACGACCAAATCGCGTGAAGTCTGTCTGGAACCTAAAAAAGAGATGAGGAACAGAGAAAGCTACAAACCATTTTTTAACTCTTACTTTAGACCATCCAAGCTCCAGCTTGATTGTAAGGAATAAACACTCATCTGAATAATCTCATATTCTTCTCCGATGCAATAAGACATTGATGGCATGCTGAAGTTTCTAGAAACCTAGGCAACGAATATGAAGAAGAAAAAGTATGAAACGCTTGTTGCCGCCTGAGAAGAGCACCGAGATGTGCTTTAACAAACATTTTATTTTGAGTATTCGTCTAATCCTTGACATATTAGACAATTTGGCAGACGAGAAAACATGCTAAAAGGATTGCTTATATGATAGCGTTACTCTAAATATCTACGATAGAGCCGATGAATGAGGAAGAAGGACAAAACCCCATGACTAAGATGATGTTTTCTACGACATCGGATGTTCATGTTTTGAAAGCGGAGATAAAGAGATAAAACTGATTCAAATATCATTCAAAGGTTTCGAATGAAATGAGAAAGAAGGATTATCGCATGCTCAGAACTCAATAGAAGCTGAATTATTGTAACTCACTTACAAGTTTTCTCTCTAGAAGCTCTGAGCTGTTTTCATTTTAGTCACATAACTAAGCGAAAAAAAGTCTGTTGAGTCTTGAGCCTGCAGCGGTTTGTTGCGATTGTTCCTTTGCAATTCATTCATAATTATTCGTATCAAAGTGATATTCAAAATTTTGTGAATCTGATTATGAAAATTGGGCTGGAGTTACGGATGAAGCTTTAAACCATTCCAGGCCTCTGATGAAGACGAAAGCGTCGAAACGTAAAGCCGAAGAGTACTGACAATAAAAGGACCACCTAAAAACCTGTTCGGCACAACAATATTCGACACTTACAATCTGATTATGTTTGAACTGGCTTTTCAAAAAATGAACGAGATAAGTAATGGCAAGTAATTTTTTTGAATTTTAGTGTATTGCGAATCTTCCTGAACATTATTTCAAAAAATGAAATTCTGATATATCTGATTCAAACGCCTTTTTACTGTAAATTTTACATCCCCCTGTCATCTTCTGGTGTGATTACTGCCAGAATGAGGTAGGCCTGAGGTACATAGTGTGCTGATTACTGACACTAAAGCATTAGCTGCCACTGGAAACTGCCTACGTCGTTTACCTACCGTGTACAGACAGATAATTCGTATATCAAGATATGCACCAAAAGATGGGCGACGTCGAGCTGACAATGAGTTGATTGTTTTTGAATTTGGAATTTATCCATCTTGATCTGAGTTATGGCGGTGTGACGTAAATTTCTCTCCAACCAGTGACAACTGCATCTCTTTCTCACAAGATATGAAGGTGTTGTAAATACAGACTGCTGGTCAAGGCCCATTTCTTGGTACTTATCACATTTTATGTTTATCTCATTGGTAGTGCTGGTTTGCGCATGAGACGAGAACGCAAACTCACACAAGAAAGTATATTTGTTCCGCTTTCATTTTTTGAGCCAGTTTCGAGAGCATCACATCACATCCATTATCGGAAGTTGTTCGTCAAGCGATTAGCACTTCGCCATCGGAGAAGACTTTGTCCTGTTGCAGCTGGTCTTTTGGAACACGAGCTCTTCCGGCGCCGAAGGAGCACGCTCTGGGCCGATGTCCGGCCCCCGTCCTGCAAACCGTATTTAACACCGAAAACGAATTGCCGGCACTCGACACTACAATCGCCTGCAGCATACTGTAGCTCTTACATACGTCATCAGTTACCCTGCTTCACATTCTTACTGGACACTTCTTCTTAGGATTTATATTAATTACTGCAATTCAGTTTCAGATATGCAACGAAAATTGGTATTGTGCTGTATAATATTCTGTGTTGCCGAGGTGAGAGTGGTTGTGACAATTTTAACAGTTTACTTTTAAAACAGTTTTACTGTTTTAATTTAACATATTGTGTGAAAACTGCCACATAGAAGTGACAGTTTTTACATAGTATGTTGAATTAAAACAGCATAATTTTTATTGATACAGCTCATTTTGTGAAATAAAGAGTTACCAGAATGTGCTCCTGAAAAACGTTTGCAAAAACTAACATTCTCCCTTTTCTCCCTTGTTTACTGCATTGTCTTTAGTTAAAAGTCGATATAAAATCTAATGTTGTACCATTACTAGAAAGCATACTTGCTTGGGTTAGGAATACTGTAAGAGGTTGCCGTAAGTTTGACTTCACCTAAGCATTGTAGCCTGTTACGAAAGATATCTTCCCAAACCCTGCCTGTTCCTGTAACCAAATGGCTAGTAAAAATCCAGATTCTTGGTTACCTCATTACATTCGGAAAAATTTTTTTTGATGCATTTCTTGCCTCAAGAGCTTTGAAGCTCCAAAGTTTAACCAAAAATTCGAGGTCTTATTTTTACTTTTATAGTTCGCTCAAATTCTAGGCTATCAAAAGTCCCATCACAATCCGAACCAAACGACAAGAATGCAAATGCATACCAAACAATGCTGCGGGAGGACTCACTTGCAGTTGTTCCAAGGTAGCAGCGGTTGGACATATTATCTATAAAAGATTTTCGCGTCAGAAAGGGTTGCTTCTAGGATGATGGAAGTCATGGTCCTATGGAGAACATTCAACAAGCTGATCTTGCTCAAGAACTGACGAACAACGTTCAGATCTACCCACAAGGACAAGGACAAGGACAAGCTAGGTTAGATTTTGGGAGATGTTTATTTACAGAGACTAATCGGCTAATGGATGTTTTTATTATTTAATTCATAACTATGTAAGAATTAGTCTGGATTTCATTTTTTTTCTAGATGTGGTTGTCTGCAAATTGTTTTCCTTGGAAATCCACAATATCAGTGTCAATGTGGAGATGGACAAGGCCCAGTAGGAACAGTTTATATTTTCTCGTGGTTGCTTACTTGGCTAACAGCAACTTTTAGATCAACCCGATCTACACAACATATCCAACAACCACCCCTACCACTACTATCCCAACCACCACAACTCGACGACCGGTCGATTACCCGGTACATTCAGTGACCTTTTTGATTTTGCTAACTTGAAGGAGAGTTTATAGAACCCATCCGGCACCGAAAATCCAGGCCGATGTCAGTGCGTTATGATTCAAATCTCTGGACCAGCATCAGCACAATACCAATGCAACTGCGATGGTGCTCAGCAAGTGAGCCACCTTGACAAAATTTTGTAAAACTTCAAAATTGTTTTTGGTTTATTTATTTCTTTGCTTTCCCTATGGAACGTTTCGTCTGTGTTTTGGTGAAAATTTTGTAGAGTTGATATATATTATTCGGTCTGCAGCAGTCTAATTTGTCTATTTATTTTGTCAAGCCATTACCTTTTTCGGCCTCATTCAACCCCGTTTCATAGACTTTCATGTAAGGTAAAGGTACCTTGGAGTAAAAAATCATAAGCAAGAAATATGCACTAAATACGAATATAATATGTATATCTCGTTTAGGCATACCCAACTCTGGCTGCTGAGACCATGACGACTCATGAACCAGTACAAGAGGTAAGGTTCCTGAATTATAGGAAGAAGGATGTCAAAAATCTAAAATTCAAAAAGGAAAAATTATGCGAAAAAGCAAGATATTTTCTCTTGTGCTTGTGATAGCGAAGGCGGAGCCATACGATAAAAACATTTAAAGATCTAGACTTTTTTGAGCTCGTCATTTAAAGTGTCAAAGAAGAAAAATACTACCCCTCTTCTCGAACTTGCGGGAAGAACAAGAGACAATTTACAAGAAATGATGCGAAGGTTAAAATGTGCAAATAAGGCAGTGAAAAAGAGATGATTTACGGCACAAATTTAGTGTGTTCCTCACTGCCACTTTACCATAACGAAAATTATCAGAGCACCTGAGAATTTTTTTCAAGATCAAATTAAAAAAACCATTTCAGACCTATGCGCCAATCACATATGCACCCGAGACACCTGCCACTACCGAAGCTCCCATGACACTCGCTCCTGAGCAGTATCCACAACAAATGCCTGAGCAAATCCCACAACAGGCACCGCAGCAGCAGTTACAGCGTAAGTTCCAGAAATTTTAGGTCATTTTGTTCCTCCCCCCCCCCCCCAAAAAGAAATTATTGTTTTTCAGCAGCTACACAGTACCCACTAACTACTACTTGCGTGATGTACGTCGGCATGCAGACTACTCCGTGCATTTGCCTTCCTCAGTATGACCAGTGCGCTCATAATGTCTGCTGCTTGAAAGCCAAATTCCGAAGCCTCAAAGTAAGACTATTCAAAAAACTTACTGTTCTATAGTAAAAAAATATTTATTTTAGAACAACTCAGTCACACAGCCTCAAAACGATGCCGAGCCTTCCACAGTCGACATGTTGATGAGCTTCTTGCAAAAGATCAAAAACAAGCTGAACCACTAAGGAATCTGCTACGATAACCAAGTGTCTGTACAAAATGTTGCATATGTGCGAAATAACAAGTTATTGAAGAAAGTAAATATACATAATTGAATTATTGTAAACTCAACTACATATTTTATATCTTATAGCGAGCCGTAGGGTCGCTACCAAATGGACCAGGCAGATCATTTGTGGTGTCTAGTTCAGAGTACTGATTTTTGACACCGCTAATCTGTTTGAAGGTTCCTAGACAGAACACCAGAAGAGTTTTGGTAAATAAGGCACTTGCTTGAAAGACCCTTCATGAAGCCCGTAGAAGGTAATTTTTAATTGAACAAAGTAGAAGCAAATATACTTGAAAAGCACGTAATTTCCTTCTCACAATTCTCCGCAAGCTTTTGACCAACTGCTCAAAACTTGCAAAAAAAAGCTCTTCAAAGTTCTTTTCATCATCATTTCCATAATAGGAGGTCGCCCAAACTACTTCACAAAAATAAAACAATTTTGGGTCACAAAGCCCTGGTGGCCGAATACAGGTAAAGGCTATGAGAGTTTTCTCAAATCCCGAGAAAGGTTCCATGGACTTCCTTGAAAGCTTGTTATTCGATTTTTTTTCGGTCATTTTCGACTTGTTGTGAGCGTGGACCTCACATTCTCATGGCACACAGCATTTGGCGATTTGGAGAATATAAAGTAATTCATTGGTTTAAATTAGTTCTCTCCTCCCCCCCCCCCTGAAAGATATTTTTGGCCAAACATTTTCAACATTCCACCGAAATACAAAGTTGCAACCCTCCAAAATATTGCCCCATGCTTTTGATTTCGGCAGCGAAAACACTGCTTCCTTAATACCCTAAGTGTCATGTACAGCGTCACTGGAAAAAAGTATTGCTTTGAACTCCTACAAGAAAATGATTCTACCGCTTAAAATGTATCTTAATCCCTGAAAATTTTCTCAAAGTCTGCGTGCTGCTTACAGACCATTATTCACAAGAAAGATGGTAAAATCACCTTAATAAAATGATGCGTCAGTATCAAAAGAATTGCTTAACATGCCCTAAGTGCCGCTTACAGACCTTCATTTACAAGAACGAACTGCTTCATGATAAAAAAAAATCACCCAATAACTCATCACACTGGGGCACAAACCAAGGACGGAACAGTATTTAATCCTAAGGCAAAGATCAGTATTTCATCATAATTTCTCCGTCTGCTGTCTCTATTCATGATCTCGGATCTGGGGGATCGGAGTGGTAAAGTTCCCATTACAGTTGCGTAGTGATCTCACCCCATAGCAAAAAACGATGAAACGCAAGTGATCCATGCCTATATGAATGCATCCATACTTCGCTAAACATAAAAGGATGAAGGATTCGGCGTTTTCAATACCCTCTGCGGACATGCGCCGAACGCACACTACTTCATAGTCGAAGAGGTGATTGTATGCGTGCGGGCCTAATACAGTGACTTGCGGGGGGCAGCCGCTTACCAAGTCAGTGCTTTTAATCTCTCAGATTACTCTGGTACCAATTTACGGCCCATAAAGGGTAGAGGGTTTGGTTGGCCTAGGGGCGGAGAGCGAACCTGTGTTCGATCTGATCATAGCGGCCCCTCATACCACTATGCTACTCGTCCCGTTAAACATATACTCTAATAACTATTTTCCGGAAAACCTGATGGAAGGTGATTGTAACTCCTCTTCACTCCTCTTCCCCACTCCCCTCACGTACTCATTTCCTTACAATGACATTAGAGTATATTGTAGGAAAAGCGCGAGTATCTGCGCGATTGGTCTATCTTCCTTCGCCCCGCCTTAGGGGTGAGGGGGGGGGGGGAAGAAGATAGACCAATCGCGCAGATGGCCTATATGGAGCAAGCCCCTTCCACAGAAAGGTTCGGACTTGAGCCCCCCCCCCCTCCCTCATTTTAATCCCCCTCTCTCTATTTTAGTTTGATATCTTAATCCTATGTTTCTTCCACATTTTTCCCTTCGTATAATCGCTTCGTATCAATCCTCCTCTATCGTACAGCCGTACCCATGTAAGGTTGAGACGGAGCACTAGCTCCTCTTGACTAACTTCACCTTGCATCCGCTTGCCATCCTTCCCTCTGCTTCAATAGATCCATGCACTCATACCGCCCTCTTATTCGCCGTTTGCAGCCATAACCTTTTATGTAATGTTTAATCCCTTATTGCTTAACAAATGCTTGGTTAGAAAGCCTAGTTCTAAATCCCATATGCCAGTCATAAGAGAATAGGAAGTAGGCATTACTGGGAAATGAAATCACTACAGTGTCTTGTATTACTCTAAGCGAACGAAGGATTCTCATCAGGTAATACTGCGTAGAAAATGTCGCGTATTCTAAAATCGCATCACATCATACCACTATCCTAAACGGTTTTTGAAATTGCAACAAGTCAACAAATGAATATGTCATCAGCAAGTGTATCCCGTGCGCATCGTCATCATCACCATCATCATCAGACGATGGGCCCGGATAGTGTCTGTCATATGAAGGCGGCTAGGCGGTTCAAGCGGTTCAAAGAAGGAAACACTAAGTTGGAAGATGAGCCGCGCTCGGGACGCCCATTTTAATTCGATTTGATGCTCTTGAAGGAAGCTGTTGAAGCGGATCCCGGCAGTCGAGCAGGTGCTTGGCAAAGAAGTCCGGACTCTCTTATGGGACGGTGGTTCGTCATCCGTACGATCTCAGAATGGTGTGGAAGATGTCGGTATGGAATCCGCATGAGCTGTCAGCACCGCAGGGTCCGAACTCGATGCGACGTCGCATCCCCTGCTCTCTCTGAGGCGGACGACAGTGTGGCTCAGGAATCTGGTGACGGACGATGAGAATGGGTGCTCTAAACCATCATAACAATCGCCAGTGGCTCAAGCCTAGGAATTCTGGGCAGGCAGTGATCTACCCTAGGGTAGATTACTAAAGTTGCCGACTAGGGTAGATTACTACCGGCCCAGAATTCCTAGGCTTGAGCCACTGGCAATCGTTATGATGGTTTAGAGCACCCATGGCACACATCACGGAAAGTTGCCAACTCCGGAGGCAGCTCGCGAAATGATCAATAGGTCCTGACAATATCAAAGTGTCACACTCCGCAGTCCTATGCACATGAAATTGTGATGATGCTGATAACCGCAAAATAGTCGCATCTCGCGCGTTGGAACCTGCATGCGTCAACCACAACGCAGCCGCACTGACCCTTCGACCACTCTTTCAATTCCTGTTCCAGCGGCAGTTATAGAAACGCTACCTAAGTGGCCCTGTATGAGATGATCAATACATTGCGTGATAGACGCTGATCTGAAAAAAAACAGCTGATTGATAAGAGCGACCGAGAGAAATCGTTGCAGATAAAATCTTTAGCAATTGCAAAATAAAAGTGGCGTTCTTCATGGTTTCATAATATCACTATATGTTTCTTGTGCATGCATATCATCAATTTGGAGAAGAAAAACCCATACAATGACAAAAGTGATAGTTTTTCGGTAGAAAGTAAATTTGCGATTCTTTTGCTGGACGTAAGTTGTGTGATGCCGCGCAATGCAATTTCACAGACGCCGCTAGCAAGGTTCCGCCACTTCAACGTGGTAAGGGCACGTCGGGGTGGTGGCACTTCAATCTCTCAAATAAGCACGCTATTTCTCGTGCTCTCTGACCTGGCGGGATCCCTCAGCGCTAAAATCCGACGAGACGCTAAAATCTGACGGTCCGTTCGCGAAGTTGCCGCCAGCACTTCCTGTCTACCTCAATAATTTTGTTTAAGGGGGTTTTTAAAATTTCCAATTGCCGAGTGATGTTCTCTAGGGTTACAATGACCTTCTCGACCAGGAAGATTGCGGTGAAAAGGGTTTGGAGGGCACAGATTTGAGGTCGGTGTTCCCGCCGACTTCACGGCGACGTGACGACGAAACATACCGCCAGGTCGGGGAATTACTACCTGCCCTGAAGTTCCGACGCCGCAAAGTGGACTGCACACAAAAAAGTCTTCTGTATTTGGTGGTGTGCGAGTGGTCGATCCCCAGAGAACTTCTGCTTGAACTTAACACTACTGCAGACAACTCGGCACCGTGGGGGCAAAACTTCGTGGGGGAATGGGGCAGATTTACTCCATTCACGACAACGCTCGGCCCCATGTGGTTACGTCGCCCGTCAGAAGCTCCAGGAACTTGGCTGTAAGATTCGGAGTCATCCCCCGTATTCCCCAGACATGGTCCCAGTAGATTACCACTTGTTTAAATCGCTAACATTTCCTCGATGGGAAGGCGTTCACGCATAATGACGATTTCAGTTGCGGCCTTCAGATTTTCTTCGACCAAAAGACAGAGGGTTTCCAAAGACATAGTTGATCACAACGGTTATTATTTCGTTGACTGAGTTTGTAAATATTAAGAGAAAGTTACGTTGAAAAAACGTAAACGCAAACTGTTACAGGACTCATGTAACAACCTAATAAAAGTGACATCCACGTAGAAGCCTGCTGTTGGATGTACTCCATCAAGTATCAAAAAAAGGCATCCCAACTTATATTTTAGTGTGGTTGAAAGACGAAATTCACCCAATTCGAGTAGATAATATCATTCTGCCGAGCTTCCGAATAAGAACATCTGAACATCCTATTCTGTTCGACGTCTTATCCAAAACTTGATCTATGGCTCGTGCTCCACTGTATTTTTGTGCATGAAAAATGGCAGATACTGAGAATATATCCTCGACAGCTCAATCGAGAAACGCGAACAAGGATATTCCCTGTACAGGCGACGTGATCCACAAAATGGAGAGCACACAACGAAAGTGCAGATGAGAGTAGACGATCAGTCGACGGTATTCGATGTAGATGATTGATGGGTTGTGCCATGTACACCGCTCATTTCTAAGATGTTCGAAGCAGGTAATATCAATGTCGATTACTGCAACTCCGTCAAGTCAAACAAATACGTAAGTATGCCAACAATGGCGGTGATATGGTCGTATTTTGTAAGTGAGTGCATCAAAAGATGAAA